AGACTACAGAGAGACTCAATAAAGTTTACCGTGATAGTATATGGTTGTTTGGGTATTTCTACTGTCTGCGTTGGGTGATTGTGGCGCCCTCTACCAAACCTAAACCGTTGATTGTAGAATCAACGACATTATTATTATTATTATTGGCTCTGATGGGAGGCTCTAAAACATTGATTCGGCACCAGTTTTGAACGACGAACTTGCAGGGAATGTTATAAACCATTTTCGTGAAATTTGAAATAAAAATTTCCAATAACGTGGCGACTACCAACTATGGGACTTTCAGAGGCCTAGCATTTCGCAATGCGTATTACCATGTCATGGATAACATCAACAATAAATCTAGATTGCTAACGAGCACAAACATTTTAAAACGGAAAAAAAACACGAAATGTTTATATTGAAAACAAGTCCAAGTTTTAAATATCTATTTTTTTTTTTAAAGAATTGGAACCTCTGGATGGCCAGAAATGACACTCTCAAGACTGTGACAGGCATGTCACATTTTTATTTTTTTATTCCAACAACCTGTCAAATTGGGGTGGGGGGGTCCTGATGTGGTTTGGGATGTATGTAATTTTGTAATCTAATACACTGTGATTGTGTAAGTGACAACTAAGTACAATTCAATTGGTCAATTTTTTTTTTAAAAAGATTTTTTATTGGTTGAGATTCTATGCTGTAGCCAATAAATAAAAGCCTTTTGTTTTGAACTGTCATATAAACAACATGTCTAAAAGTCCAGGTGTTATTTATCTCCTGTTTATTTGTGAATAATCATCTATTTTATGGAATAAATACAGAGTTCCTTCATTAAAAATTTTTTTAAAAAAAAGATTTTTTATTGGTTGAGATTCTATGCTGTAGCCAATAAATAAAAGCCTTTTGTTTTGAACTGCCATATAAACAACATGTCTAAAAGTCCAGGTGTTATTTATCTCCTGTTTATTTGGGAATAATCATATATTTTATGGAATAAATACAGAGTTCCTTCATTATATTAAAGTTTTGGTTTGTTTATTTAGTTATGTAATCAGAAACTACAGTTACACCTTATTTTACGGGAACCTTAATTTGTTTATTTGTTATTTCATTTGTTT